ATGCGCTTGGTAAGCTCCCCGGCAAAATCCATAGAAAAACGACAGCGTACCAGTGCATGATCAGAATCGAGGTGGGTATTCCAGTAGGCGCGACAATCCAATATGGAACCACGCCACCTGTAACCTGACCCATTTGGGTCCATCGTTGACCAGATTTAGGGGGACGCTGTGGTACTTCGGCGCCCACTGTGTCTAAAAGCGGTGCTAGTAAGTAACAGCCGGCGCTCCGCGCATAGTAGCAGCAGCCGCTCACCGTTGTTCGTCTGGTCGGATTTAAGTGCATATCTACCACATAGATGAGCTACTGAAGAGCTCAGACGACCTACTTACATACTCATATCCCCTGTCTGTATTTACATCCTCCCCGCTGCCTTGTGGAAATGTGGCAAAAATCTGGCTTTACAGAATAGACGCCCTCATATTTCAAACCCCCAATCTGGAAAACCAGGAGACTGAGCTCAAAACATCGACGAAACTAGTAGGAGAAGTTCTCAAGATGCTTGGGGGCACCGCGCAGCATAGCTCACTTCTTTGAAGAGGTACGCAAATCGTCGCACCACGTTAAGATCTGGTCTCATTGCGATGGGTTTCCATCTCCGACGCACGATGAAAGCACCAGGTTTCGTGGTCGTCCTTTGACCAGCACGCAGTTCAAGTCTCAGACCTATGCGAGTCTCGTCGTGTTCGCTCCAGCCGGAATGTGTCGGCGAACATCCAAAAGTCCCAGTGACTGCGTGGAGACCCCGTGTCCCGGTTTGCGACAAATATGTCTCATACCTACTACTAATAAAGTCTGTCCGATACGCCACCAGTGATTTTCAACTGTCAAGAACGAAAGACTATCTGGTGAGTGATTGCTTTAAATAATTCAGCATCAGATGATTACAATCATATGGGGGCTAAAAACAAAAATCGACCCAGTTAGTTCAAAAGGAATAGATCACGTGAAGGTCAATGTCAAGGACGAGAAAAGGAGCTAGGTCTTAGTGCATTAGTTGTTTGCCGCGGTGTCTGATCGAAAGCAGTCGACCTGGGCATCTTCCACCTTCGCTGGCCAGGGAATCTGAAGAGCCTGAACCAGCTTCTTCTGCGAGCATAAGGATGGCTGAAACAATCGAATGCAAATTGCTTCAGCTGTCGCAAGTGTACGAAGGCGGAAGACTTTCGATCAGTGCGGTGGAACCTTGTAAACTATTCGGAAGGCGCGTTTCAGATCCACCTCGTGGGCGGTGTCCACGATGTGGGCCAGAATGGTGCTACTAATGGTCCCGGCGCCTCCTTGACGCAGCCAACGAGGGCAATGTTCGTCCAGGCGTTTGGATAAATGCCGCGCCGTTCGACCGAAATACCTTGCGCCACAGGCGCACGCGAATTGATAAATCACCATTGAAATGGCCAGCATTGGCAGCTTGTCCTTGTTTTGTGAACGAATGAGTGGTTCCGTTGAAAACACGTGCTTTAGCGTTGCTGCTTGGAAGGTCGACTTTACCGCGGCCGAAAGGCTTCTGGTTAGACGCTCGGTAGCCGCGTCCCCTTTGAAAGGTAATTAAATAAATAGCTCTTTCTTCGGCGCTGTTAGCACTGGCACTGGTTTGGGCTTTTCTTGAAAGTTCCTTAAAAGAAGACTATCGGAATATCCGTTTTCTCATAGAGTATTCTATATGAACATCAACTCCGCGTCTAGGGTGTCTTCCGTACAGATTCGTCGTGCTCTTGAGGTAAGACAGTAAATAAATAAATAAATTTTTATTCTCGGTTACGCGAGGCACGCCATTAAAGGCATGATCATAGCAATAGTACAGTTGATCAAGAAATGTGCAATAGTATAATAGGATTTTCATATATGTGGATCCATAAATGTAGGCAGGTGTGTTGTTTGTGTTTGTAAATGTGTTACTGTTCTTTTGAGTGAGTTCGATCGCGTCGCCGGTGTCTGAAGAAATGTTTGACGTCTGTGGATTTGATAAGCTTGTCAGCGTAAGCTTGGGCAGTGACTTTATTTAGTGGCGAGTCACATCCGCCACGTCACAGTGTTGTTAACCAGACTTTTGTGGCTTTTCATAGGGAGAACGCTTGCCAGGCGAAAATCCACCACGTTCTAGAACACTGCCGTCGAACTATTCACTGGCGCGGGTTAAACCTGAACCACCCAGCTGGCATCAGGGGAGGTTGTTCGGCTAGCCAGCCAAACAACCAAGTTGAAAGTTCGTGTACTGTGTCCAGCGAGCACTTAATTAACGCGCATGTTTGCGCAGTTTGATATGCAATCTTAACTTCGTCAGTTGGCGTCGTCACAGGTGTCCGCCAAAAGGTACGCGCAGATCGGCACACACAAGAGCGTGATCGGAGTCCACGGTCGTGCTCCAAATCGAACGAGAATTTTGGATACAACCTCCCCAGCGACAACTGATCGTGATGTGGTCGATTTACATCCATGGCTGGTTTGAGGCGGATGGGCATTATGTCACTCTTTTGCGCGTGCTTTGTCGGAAGTTAGTGCTCGAGAGAAGTAAACGAGCATCTTCACACAGTTGTAGCAACCACTCACCCTTACAGGAGCCTACACCGTGTTGGCCGCCCAAATGAAGCTCATTAGTGGAAAGTTTTCCAATTTGGGCGTTTAGATCACCAGCAAGCACCACAGAATCCTTACTTTTTCTATAACGAAGGATGTCGTTCAGCTGGTGATAGAAACCATCTTTCACTAGAGTTTGTAAGGGCATACCCAGCAATAACAAACAGGCACCATTTATCCTCGCACAACTTCGAAGCGTCGGATACGCCAGCCAGGCTGACAGCTAAAATCCGGTTATTGACTGGGATCCAGTCGACCAGAGCAGCTCCGCCCGAGGGTTCAAAGGAATACCCACGCTGGCTTGAGTGGCATTTGAAGCTGCATCATCTCCAGATAGATGCAGTGAAAAGTGCCGATATTGTCACATGATTGTGCACAGAGCTCTACTCTTGCAGACTATCTCAGTCTCTGTTCGCAGGAAAACTCAGATAACTGGTCGACATTCTTAGTTATCCGATGTCACAGAACCTTCAGGGTAGAGAGATGTCGCTTCTACTATTGCTGCCAATCTCGAGATAACCGGATGCTGTCTGCAAGCTTAATTTTTATGGCTTTTTTGAAGCCATTTCGAACTGTTGTGATCGGTGGTCTTTCTGAATTTAACTAGCTTAACTATAATCTATCATAACTATACCAAGTTAGATGTTTGTAAAACCACTGAAAGGCCAGTGACGGTCTGGAGACCGCCACCCAACTTCCATCCGGTCGAATCTCCTTTGGCTAGTTGCGATGAATCCCAGTTAAACCGTTTAAATCTGACTATTCTATTTTGAACTACATTCTGCCTAAGCTATTTGTAATGCGACAGGTCAGATGTTGGTTGAAGTTTTCGGGTTGTACAATGCTATTTCTGGAGGAAATGATTGCGATTCCGGAAAACGTACGATGGAGATGGTTGCGAAAAATGCCATCCACTAATATGTTGTCCCAAGATAAGCGGATCGTAGTAAAATATGAAGTTTTCTAGAGAGCGTCACGACGTGCGCTACAGGATATTTCGCATAACAAATATGGTCGAATGGTGGAGTCACGTGACCAATGCGACCTAACGGAGTGCTTGGAACTATTCTGTCGACCAGGAGTTCTTCGTTGGCGAGTACAAGATAAGACCATGCAGCTGGACTGTGTCGTGTACTGTCAGGGAAGGTACCATTTATTTACGTTTCGATGGGCTGTTCACCGACCGAAATCCTGTGCAAGAGATGACTTGGTTGTACCGAGGGTATTTGGATACTGACTTGCAAACTGTGCGCCATCGGGTGCTGGCATTACCAGCTAATGCGCATTAAAGTCTCCCGCGATGACAACGCGGCAACCAACAAAACGTTGTTCAGTTTGTAGTCCATTTCTGATGTAGAGCCCGGTGGACGGCTAGATACGTGCCCTTATGCCAGTTATAGCCGGCACCAAAACGAATCAGTGGAGCAGACCTCTGGGTGATCAATAAGTACATATCGGAGGGTAGTTTTGTGAAGAAAAAGCACCACGCCAACCCTTCCAGCTCTATCGTTCCGAAGCAGCGACATATGCGGTAAATTGATCTAAAAATCACTTTTCTCAAGGCTTAACCAGGTCTCTTTAATGACGAGATACCGCGGTTGTGAGGCTTAGCGCTCTCTAACTTCGGCTAACATACATATAGCAGCGGCCGTGGTGAAGGCCACTATCTATACCCCATTCGTAATGGGATCTACTTACTACCTTCACAATCCGATGACCATAAAATCCGATCGACGTTCCAAGTGAGATAAGCAAATCTGGGGGACAAAATAACTTCTGGTACGTGCAGGTGCAAAACTGGCTACATGCCGAACAATTCTGGAAACATTCATCACTATGCAGAATGTAACAAGGATATTAGACACTCAGCAACGCCCAGATACATACACGGAATCTGGCCTAACTGACATATGAATTGCTAAAGGGACACGTAGATTATTCACCTTTTATCATTACTCATATAACGAAACCTGTGCATGTGTTGCCTATTCTTCCTCCACCATTGGGCTGCTCTCGGGTTTCTCTACACAGTAAACAAGTGATCGTCCTAAATGTGTGAGCTGCAAGCGATCGCGGCGCTGGTCTGCGAAGCCAGTACTACAACTACTTCATCAAGGAGAGGGGATTGTGAAAATGTATGACCCTAAAATGTTTCATGATGTGCAAAGGTATGGAAGCCATAACACCACTTCTGTGTACAGACAATCGCTACCACTTAGAAATCGTACACCGATTTTCGGAAAATATGCAATTCATTTATTATTAAACGCGTTCATGACTCCCCGAGCATAGCATAGCATAACATAGCAGTTTTCACAATGGGCGATGGCGGGGCAGAAATGGGTTAAGGGAGCTGATCACGCTTAACTTGAAATTAAAACCATAAATCGGGTGTTTATTTAACAGATCATACGCAATGACTTACCGAAGCAAAACTTCCACCAACTCAGCGCCACCATCGGAGCCGCAAGAAACAGCTTCGTGCAAGGCGGTGTTACCGTTTCTGAAAAATGAAGATACAGTGCAGTCGTGTCAAAGTCTCATAACCGGGATGGTGAAATATCATCTACGTTTGGCCCAGACAAAGAGGGGCTGTCCTATCGTTCTTAAGTATCCGTTAATGAACCCACAACTGTCATCATGTCCTCAAACAAAACCCGCAGTAAACCATCGTCTGTTTCAATCTGTCTCGGATGAACGCAGTGAGGCATTCTTGAGGTAACGAAATTTGTAGTGATGGGCTAATTTGTGGTTACAATATAGCGAAAACCAATTGACAAACGCGTGTTTTAACTGAAGGTGCATTCTCATGCTTCGAATCCTAATGACAATCTCTTCGTTGGATGTACAGATATACAGTCGCAATGTTGCTAGGCATCCCTAGAATACCGTGTTGGATAACTAGCTGTGTGGCTGAACGGAGTCTCCAGGCTGCTTAGGGACACCACGAGTCCGGTACTCGGTAATACGTTCTCCTATTGTGAAGAAAATCCAGTGGAGATTCTACAGAGTTAATATGGATGGCACTGTCGCGAAGATAGTTTGATGTATTTCACAGGTATGCAGCGTTAAGAATATGGTAAACGACGTGAGTCGGCAAAATTGTACGTTTCTACCGCGGTCCGAACAGGCGGATAAGACCAAGGAATTTGTTGCACGGTACTTCGTACCAAACACTGACTCACTCGCTTGCAGCAGTTTGCATTTGCAATTTTATTTTTCTTAAGTTTCAATACTGAAATGGCAAATGATGATGCTTTTATCTCTAGCAACCGTTGCTCCATCGATAGCCATCGATAGGTAATAGATAGCGACTTGGCAAACGTAAGCAATGAAGATTTATAACAGTCACGTTCAGTCGGACAAGCAGCACAGTCCTATAAAAATACCGGACGGCCGCTTCGCATCTTGAGGCTCTTCAGGTGTATCCATCCTCTTTGTCCGCCTATTGAGCTTATGGTGCCACCGGATTGCTTGCGGCACAGAGAGGTAGGTAGGATTAATGGGACCCAACTAGCCACGCCATTTGTTGGAATCAGTACATGGCAGTGCAGGACGAGTCGCACTGTACAACCGCCAGTCAGCTGGTCACAGCAGTTGATGGCACCACGTGTGACTCAGTGATAACATTTGCTGAATCAAAGGATATCCCCCACAGAGTAGAGGGAGTGCTCACCACCGACGTGTCTGCGAAAGATGAGAAGGCCGACAATCTTTTGTCCGGACGTGTTACAACCCCCTCGGATAAAATTCAGCTGTAACCACACTATTCCGAAATGGAATACAATCCTCCCTAAGGAATGTAAGTAATAACCGATAGCACGTACCGGCTCTAAAAGCGGTCTACTTTCGAGAAGGGGCTGCCCAAGACGGTCACCGCGGGAACATCAAGATCAAGTAAAATAATTACAGCGAATTCTCTGTGGGGGTCCAGATGTTTACCTGTCGTTTACTGGAATGCATGTAATAGGATAGCCTTTCTATGGGGTCCGCATATGCACCATTGTTGAGGTTTTGACATAATAGAGTAGGCCATTCCGAATAGTATCACTACGTAGTTCAGTATTTTGACTGAGGTTGAACTCGACAAATTATGCGCACCTTTTACGAAAACTTGCCTTGTGACATATGACTGGGAAGTTAAAGAAAGATCCTATGTTGACTTCCGCTGGTAAAGTTGAACTGTTCTTGGTAGACCAATATTGTGGACTATCTGAATATGAATAATGCCGTAAGAAGACGAACACTGGCAGATGTCAACATTTCGTATTGTCTCTTCAGTGCCAACAAAATAACATGAAAATATATAAGACGACAGGTAGGGTGAGACCGGAACAAGTTAGAACAGGGTAGAGGGACAGGCGTGACACCTCTATGCCCAGGGCAGCCGTAGGCTTACGAACAGCTGTTGCTGCACACAGAGTGCGGGTTTGATACGGCTGATCGCGACTGCCTCTGCAAAACGTAGGAAACGGGCGTTGGCATGTCTTAACACGATTGCAAACATTTTGGCCGGATCAAACTGGTGACAGGTGGCCAGTAAATGCCTACCTATGGATGAAGCAGGTGGTTTACGTGAGCAGATGGTTTGAGCAACCGACGACTGGGTGATTTGACGCTGCAACCATTTAGGTACACGTTCCCTTATTCTGGAGTTCAACGATCTATTGGTACGGCCGATGTAGTGTATACCACAACTACAAGTAAATTGGTAAATACAATGTGAGTTGGCGCCAATAGGTTGTCTTTCCGTCATTGGGGTAACAGGTATTCGATTAGTCCGGTTGATAAGGACAGTTTCGGCAGCATAATAAGTCCTCTGGACTGCGGAAGTTATGCGCTTCTTGTCCTCATATTGGCAAAACCTCCCTTAAATGGTAGCTCGATGTAGATCTTCTTTTTAGACACTGTCGAAACCTTCTGTCCCGGCACCCTCGCCTGACTATGTGTGTCGATGAATCTACTTGGATAGCCATTTTTCAAAAGCGTATCCTTAAGCGAGTTTATCTCATCATCTAAACTGTCGGTAGTGCATATTTTCCTTGCACGGTTGAATATTGTCTTGACTAAGGTCCGCTTGTACCGCATTGGGGAGAAGCTGGTAAAGTGCAGGTACTGCCCTGACCAAGTCGGTTATCGGTAAACCTCTCTTTTGATGGATCCATCTGCTCTTCGGCAAATCAACACGTCCAGATATGGGAGGCAGTTGCTTTTCTCTGTTTCGCTGGTTACTTTCAGATTCGTGTGCACGTTATTCAGGCGATCGACCAGACGCGCAATGTGCTCCTCTGATAAGCTAAACACTAAAATATCATCCACATACCGGTATGTGCATTTACATTAAAATCTGCTAGCACTGGGCTTAAAGGGCTACCCGTCGCCACCTCATCTATCTGGCGATAGGGAATGTTTTGGAATTGGAAACTGTTGTTCTCAGTGCATAGTAGTAATCTGTCCTTTAATAATTCGACTGGCATTGGAAGAGTAAAATCGGAGCACTGTGACATTTCACACACGTAATCAAATGTTTCATGTAGCAAGAACATTGGTGAAAAGCGATTGTACATCCAATGTGGTAATGACTTTATCGGATAGGTTAAACTCATCTTAAGCGTCTGTAAGTTGGAAAGAGTCCTTCAGACGTTGTGGGATAGTCTGCTGTATTAACGGCGAAAGAACTTCACCAGCCAACGACCTAACTTATGTTGTGCCGAGTTTGCCATTGACAAGATTGGTCTAAGCGGTATACCACATTTATGGGTCTTTGGCAAAGCGTATAGCTGAGGTATGTTGGACCCTCTCACTTTTAGGTTATTATATACCTCATCAGTGAAGTGAAAAGACGCATCACGTAACAGCTCCCTATCGCCAGATAGATGGGGTGGCAATGGGTAGTCCGTTGGGCCCAGTGCTAGCAGATTTTTTCATGTCGATGATTAAAAAGAAGTTGAGTGTGGAAATATCACTTCTTTCCTACTATAAGCGGTATGTGGATGATATTTTAGTGTTTAGCTCATCAGAGGAGCACATTGCGCGTCTGGTCGATCGCCTGAATAACGTGCACACGAATCTGAAAGTAACCAGCGAAACAGAGAAAAGCAACTGCCTCCCATATCTGGACGTGTTGATTTGCCGAAGAGCAGATGGATCCATCAAAAGAGAGGTTTACCGAAAACCGACTTGGTCAGGGCAGTACCTGCACTTTACCAGCTTCTCCCCAATACGGTACAAGCGGACCTTAGTCAAGACGCTATTCAACCGTGCAAGGAAAATATGCACTACCGACAGTTTAGATGATGAGATAAACTCGCTTAAGGATACGCTGTTGAAAAATGGCTATCCAAGTAGATTCATCGACAAACATAGTCAGGCGAGGGTGCCGGGACAGAAGGTTTCGACAGTGTCTAAAAAGAAGATCTACATCGAGCTACCATTTAAGGGAGGTTTTGCCAATATGAGGACAAGAAGCACATAACTTCCGCAGTCCAGAGGACTTATTATGCTGCCGAAACTGTCCTTATCAACCGGACTAATCGAATACCTGTTACCCCAATGACGGAAAGACAACCTATTGGCGCCAACTCACATTGTATTTACCAATTTACCTGTAGTTGTGGTATACACTACATCGGCCGTACCAATAGATCGTTGAACTCCAGAATAAGGGAACATGTACCTAAATGGTTGCAGCGTCAAATCACCCAGTCCTCGGTTGCTCATACCATCTGTTCACGTAAACCACCTGCTTCATCCATAGGTAGGCATTTACTGGCCACCTGTCACCAGTTTGATCCGGCCAAAATGTTTGCAATCGTGTTAAGACATGCTAACGCCCGTTTCCTACGTTTTGCAGAGGCAGTCGCGATCAGCCGTATCAAACCCGCACTCTGTGTGCAGCAACAGCTGTTCGTAAGCCTACGGCTGCCCTGGGCATAGAGGTGTCACGCCTGTCCCTCTACCCTGTTCTAACTTGTTCCGGTCTCACCCTACCTGTCGTCTTATATATTTTCATGTTATTTTGTTGGCACTGAAGAGACGATACGAAATGTTGACATCTGCCAGTGTTCGTCTTCTTACGGCATTATTCAAATTAATAAAGGGATCTAATTGTTTCAAATATATGAATATGCTCTATGTGCGGTGGGATGGCCTACTCAACTTTCAGCGAGAAATCTAAACGTACCGATCCTACTAGAGATCAAACAGTCGTTTTGCTCGGGCTTGCAACGTGTACTTGTAGTTAGAAGAATGTAGAAAAAAATCAATAAGACCGACAACCTTTTGTACTGGAGTGATGAGGCCACCAGATGGCTAGACAAGCGCTACCATTTTCAATCTCATTGTTGTTCACATTCTGCACACATCATCGTTGGTTATTTGAAAGTAGACGTGTGGATCTCTTTTATGCTGGCAGGATCACCAGAGTTCAGTCGGTCTCGTGACTCTGATTACGTTGTACGTTTGTGTGCTTCGAAGTAATGAGTTATTCAATGCTGGTATAACAGTTGCCAAGTTCACTCACGGTAGAAGCGATTAAGGTGCTAGAATAACACATCCTTTTCGGCGTGGAACTGAAATATTTCCAAATAAGAATATCACAAGATGAATGCTGTGCGACACAAAGAAACGAGACCGAAAGATAACGATTCAAAAGAAACCGGATTTCATTGAGTTGCCATCCGAAAGTGACCACCTAATGAAAATCATCGAGAAACGAATAAGCGCCTCAGTGAAAAAGCATACAATGCAGCGGCGCTACGCAAGACCACTGCCTAAGTGTTCGGTGTCGAAGCAGTGCACGTCACAATGTCCATACAAATTCACATGTAGATTCGGAGACAGCTATGTTGGGCGTCGAGGCATATTATTGTGCCCCATGCTGAGGCTGTTGCATTCTTGATGCTTCTTCACCGCAGTTGGGCTAAACCAACTTACACTTAAACTAGGTCTTTTTAAGCTGTCTAAATTTCGTTTCGCTTTATTTGGTTTGTTCTGCCTCCCTGAATAATGTTCTATTAACTGGCCACGTTGCTTACACTAATTGCGCTTATCTTCGGTAATTTTGTTGCGTTTGTAGCATTTTAAGTAACTTGTGTACATTTCTTACTTATCACGGATTTGTTGCTAACCAACTTACTTCATATGGTAATTTAGCGAAGAGTTATGCCACCGTATCTGTATGCATTATTGGATTTATTTTTTCAGCTTGTCGTTTAAAGTGAATGGGTGTTGTTTGATATCCCTGGTATGGTTGCGCTTGATGTGTATGTTGACAAGGTGCCTACCTGTCTACTACCCACTACATCGTTCATACTGGCTCCAGGAGACAGTTGGTCGTTGCTGGAGGGGACGGGGTGCACGTTCTTGTGGCCGTGCTAGGCTCAAAGAGCGGTTCCATGCACTCAGTGTGGAGCGGACTACGGTCCAGCCACCGCCTTGTGTGCGCTTGATTCCCAAATACAGCGTGCTTGTGTTTGCCTGTGAAGGAGTGTGGGCCGGCTCCGTTGATGAAACGTGGTTCCCATCCGCATGCCTCCCGGTCTTATTCCTTCGGGTTTACACTGGATATGGGGTATGTGGTTGGAGCTGTGGGTGGTGCAGTGCAAGCCATCCATGGTCCCTCTGTAGGCGCAGGCGTCCTGTGGCTTGCCACAGTGACAGGCAAATCCGAAACCGGATGCCGCCAACCATGTTGGGCGCACTGATCGAAATCTAGGTGTCCGGATCAACGAACACATTCCGAAGTGATTCCGCAAACAGATGGAACTTGCGACGGTTTCACTGGGTGAATCGAGTAACAAGGCTGACTCAGTGCTTACGAGGCATTTGCTGAACACCGGTCACCAGGTAAACCCGAATGAATCATTCAGTCATCATGCGCAGCCAAAGGCCTCACATACTCAAGCTTCTTGAGGCCATTGTTATCGATCGACAGTGTTCAACGCTGTGTTCAAAAACAGCTGACTGTGACGCTAAGTCTTCCGTGATAGAGAGTAAGGCACAATCGTAATTCAGTTGACCAACAATTGGACTTATGTGATCTAATTTGGGTTTAACATCGTGTAGTATGCCCATCTTTATTATATGTGGTAAGAAGAAGGACAAGCGGTATGTGTAAAGCGAACAATTGTTCGATTTATTCATCAGACTTGATACAGAAATATACTTTGAGAAGAGGCGTTCATTCGGGAACAAAGAGTAACTATTGATTGAACAAAAATTTTTGAAATGGTTAACGTAACATGTCATGTGGTCAAGTGACTGAAGGCATGTAACACCACTGAGTGAGGTCCGATCCATCTTTATTACTGAGTGGCCAGGGTAGTTGCAATGCTTGTATAAGCACTGAGGCTACGCACTACAGATACTGCGATCCTAGGGCGAATGATGGTATTACCTAAAGCTCGATTGATTTATCACTACATCTCTTATAAATGCTTCCGTTCGATGCCTTCAATCGTGGTTCATGTAGAAAAAAACATGCGGTAATAACGATCACACTGTCAACATCGACTTGTGTAAATGCATACCCTCTATCTCGGTCAGACTAAAGTACAATCATATGTGCCCTCATCGAGACATACTGCATGACGGTTAGTTATACATGAGCTCAACATGTGTTATTCGTGGATTGACTCGTCAGTTTGACCAACAATAGTCACATTTGTCAATTTGTCAACAAATCGCCTTTTCTCAGACTTCGTGAGTCTGACTTGATATATTCACAACTATGGAAGGTGTGCTTGTGTGTAGCAGTTGAGCACTTCCGGATGCAGAAAACGCTGTCTGCTCGTTGTGTAAAGAGCAGGGGTGTTGAAACGGAGGCATGAGTCACTAGTAGTGTGTGAACATCAATACCATATGAAAGAGTCCGGAAAATGTGCTGGTGACCCTCACAGTGTTCCAGCGGCGTTGACTTCGGCCCCAGCCTCGACCAGTGGCGGAATCGCTTCAACCTTCCGGTGGTGAACAGCGACAACCAGTGGGGTGTTTGCGTCCGAATCTAAGCAATTCGGATTGGCACCCTGAAGAGCAGAGAAGACGACCAAGTCAATATAATGACTTGCAGAAGGATACAAGTGTAAAACAGCTGTGTACTTACTTCCTTGATTGTTTGTCGAATCTTTTCTTGGTCCACTTCTCCGGGTTGAGACAGCAAACGCAACAGACTTTGATCGGCAGTCTGAAGAGTTTCGGGTAGAAAACAAGTCGAGGAGACGATGAATCTAGACAGAGGTACATCGTCGGTAAGAAGAGCTATGCAAAATATATGATGAGTATGCAGTGGGACGGGAGAAGAAAGCCGCGAGCAGTAAAGCACACCAGAGCACCACGGCAAAACGTCCAGACAAGGGCGCACAGTAAATAATAAAAGTGAAACGAGTGAGTGAAGAGGCTTGGCACTGCTGCGCCCCACAATATAACTCTTATTTTTATGTGCACTTTTGTTGCTGATCCATAGTACAATATTCGCTCCTGTTTTACTGCTCCTCACTTTCCGCCTCTAGCCGCTGTCACTCGTCTGCTCCGTGAGCTTCTGTGCTGACGTTCGATCCGGTCTCGCTTCTTCCGTCCACGTCTTCCGGTATCCCGTTGAATATAGTCCGTTGTGTCCGAATTCGTTCACCTTCTGATATCCGCGCTCGATTACACGCACCGTCTCGGACTAGTATTTACGAGTCCTATGAATTGGGGATCCCGATTCGCACGCGCGAATTTAAATTGTTTCGTCGTTGCATATTTTTCGGTGAGTTCGTGCCTTTTTCTCGATTTTACACGTGCACTTATTTGTTCGTTGTTTAACGTTAATCGTTTCATTTTATTTTTTGTTCATTTTTGATATTCGCTATGCATAACTCGAACGCAACATCTGAACTTTTGCACAGTTAAACATGCTAACTTTGATTGTTCCAGATTTCTTGGAACACAACCCTGATATTTGGTTTGCCATTTTCGAGATTGAGTTCAAAAATAAGAGCATTCACGGAGGAACCGGATACAATCAGGTCGTTTCACGCCTTCCTTGGGCGGTAGTGACGCTGGTTCAGGGTATTCTACTTTGCCCATCGAAGGAGACAAAGTACGAAATGATGAAGCAGGCGATTTTAAAGGAGTCACAACCCAGTGCAGGGGATCTATTGGAACGGGTCAATGATCTCAAGCTTGGTAATCCCAAGTCGTCAATTTTGCTCCGCGAAATTCAGCGCGTTGATCAGCATTGATCGCAGATGGAGTAAACAAAGCTTTGGCTTGCACGTCACTTAGAGCCGTTGCCGTAAATGATGCCCCTGAAAGAACTAGCCACCACAGCTGACGCTGCGTTCGAACGCTTTTCACAGGAAACATCTGGTAGTTTCGGTAATGTATTCGCAGCGATGAAAAACGAGTGTCTCACTTATCCCGAGTCGTCAACCCGAACTGACCCTCGATTCGGCGAAATTGCGCTTCTTCGCAGTAGGGTCGCAGCAATGAAGCTTTCGAAGCAGTATACGGTCAGACACCGACCACATTTTGGCTACCGTTCATTGCAGTATCTTGGCCAAGTATGTCACAAAAGCGCAATATTTCCTCAGTACCAAATCCTCGGCCTGGGAAACCGGGAAGCACCATGCCCACATCACCTATGTACCCATGTTCCAGCAATTCTTCGCTCGCTCTACGTGCTCTCACTCTCTCGAACGGTTCGCCTCGGCTGAGGAACTGGCGGCTGAACCCGCCAAACCACCTTTTACCGTAACACCGTTTAGTCACTTTATTCCACGTTTGTTCAACCTCCCCATTCTTGGTCTTCCCCATCCGTTTTCGGGTTCACAACATCGTGCCGCCTTGGGTAAACGTTCTCGCCATACGGATCGGGAGTCTAGGTCCGACGGGGCACCAAGTTGTGTTGACAAGCCATCTCTAGCGCCCCGTTCCGAATTCAAGCTGGTAACCTTCAATGTTTGGACGCTGATGCAGATTGGATAACAGGCAGCCCTTGCTCGCACTCTAGAAACTACGGCCATTGATGTCTGCTGTCAAAGCGAGACCTGTTTACAAGACTTCAGCACGAGGCTGCGACTAGTTTCGCCGTCTGCGGATTCCACGGGCATTTTCACTTTGCGCCTATCTAGAGACTCAATCGCCGAGGCCGCTGGTTATGATGGCGTGGGGATTGCCTTGAGCACACGTGCTGAGGACGCGCTACTAGACTGGGTCCCTGTCAACAGTCGAATATGCGCGATCTGACTTGAAACCTCAGTGCGATTATCCAGGCACGAAGCCAGCAGACGCTGTCTATTCACTGGCACAGCGTACGCTCCCACAGATGGCAGCCCGGAGTCAATTAAGCACAAGTACTATGGTCAACTGACCGACCTTCTCCGTGAAAAGCGCCATACAGACATCGTGGTGCTCGCCAGGGACTTGAACGCGCAGGTCGGTAGACTTGAAGTTGACGAACGTGAACTCGGTGGTCAACACGGCCATGGCACTAGCAGAACTGATAACGGTGATCGACTACTTCAGCTTTGCGCCGATCACGGCCTCTTTCTGTCGAGTGCTAGCTTTCGGGGATCCTGGTGCCAACGCGCCACCTGGAGACCCCCATCACCTGGTCAGCCGTGGACACAAATTGACCACATCGCCATTAGCTATCGCTGGCGGGGCTGCATACAGGATTGCGAATCAACCTGGAGTAGCTATCTCACTTCGGATCACGCACTTGTGTGCGCTAAGGTCGCGCCACCTTTTGGTGGCTCCCAGCAGCGTCGACAGAAACGGCTTGATGTGGCTAAGATTTCTGCCCCGAACATTCTCCGCACGTTTCAGGATGCCGTGGCCTCACGGCTGAAGACTCCCTCATGCACAAACATTGAAGCACACTGGACACACATCCGCGGCGCCATGGACAACTCTGAAACGCTGATCTGTGGCTTCAGCAGTAGTGCTGTCAACCACTGGATTTCTGCACGATCCCTCCAACTTTTCGAAGCCCTTCGAACAATTCCTGCTAACGTTAAAGACCATTCATTATGCAAGACTACTAACGCTGAGCTCAAACATCTTCTCCGGGAAGATCGTGAAGCCTGGTGGACGCAGCGGGTCATTGAGATAGAGCAAGCGGCCACCTTTTGGAATTTCCGTAAGTCTTTCTTCCTGATCCGATCTACTGGCGGCAGAAGGCCGACTGTAAGCGAAGTCTTATGAGAAACGATTGATGAGCCAATCCACTGTCAAAAACGCCGAATCGAGCATTTTGAGCAGCAGTTTAATTGGCCAGCAGCACCAATGTTCCCACTTTTGAGTCCAGAGCGCTCCCTGGTGTGTAGACGCTTCACCACCATTCGAGGATGAGGTTACCCACGAGCTTCGCCTCTTAAAGCGCTACAAAGCCCCTGGCCCAGATGGACTTCTTCTGGCTCTTTTCCAAGATGGCGGCCCATCACTTCAATCGTATACGTCTCTTCTCCAAGAGATCTGGGTCACTGAAGTTGTCCCATCTGATTGAAGCCTAGCGGGTATCGTGCCCGTCTTCAAAAAGGGTACCCGAACTGACTGCGCCAACCGCAAATGAATTAGCTTCATCATTGTTGTTACCAAAGTGCTGGCAACTCTGCTTTTACGAAAGCTCAGCATGGTACGCGAACAAAGCATACGTGAAAAGGAAGCTGAGTTTCGCTCAAGTCGGAGTTGCATCGATCCCATCTTAAAACTCCGTCGTCAAACATTTGGCCAGCCAACGGTCGTTGTCTTCTTAGATACACGAGCCGCGCTTGACTCAGTCGACAGAGCTGCTCTCTGGTGTTGTCTGCTGAGAAGGGGAGTTCCCGAGAAGTATGTCACCTCATTTCGAGTTATCTACACCCAAACATCGGGCCGAGTGCGGGTGTACGGCGGACTTTCGCCCTCCTTTGGTAACACCATTGGCGTGAGACAGGGTTGCCCATCATCTCCTTCTTGTTCGATTTCGCTATAGACGAGATCTTGGAGTGTACTCTGAAGAACTGCGTATCCAGCGTCGTCGAGCTGCTTCCGGAGGACCGGCTTCGCGATTTGGATTATGCAGACGACATCACCTTAATCTCCGATTCTTCACCGGCCGCCCAAAATGTCCTATGTAGGTTGTAGCTGGCTGTCTCCCAGTTTGGAATGACCTACGCACCATCGAAATGCAAGGTTTCCTGCAAGACTGGCTAGGCGCTGCTTTTAACCTTACCCTTCTAGGTCATTTCTTGGAAGTGGGTGAACAAGTTCTTTTACCTCGGAAGCTGCCTCAGCGCTAATGATTTAACGGATGAGGTCTCTTTGCGCGTCTCCAAGACTCGGGTTGCTTTTGCCAATCTCCGCCATCTCTGGCGTCGAGGTGATCTGAGTCTATCTCTGAAGGACCGAGTTTACAATGCCACAGTGAGAGCGATTCTGCTCTATGGCTGTGAGACTTGGCCTGTCCGTGCAAAGGATGTTGAGAGGCTGTCTGTTTTTGATCACTCCTGCTTTCAGAGGGAAACATTACACTAGTAATGAAGATGTTCGACGACGGATTTTCAGATCAGACAAACTTTGCCGGCCAGTGAACAGCATACTTTCTCTGCGCAGACTTCAGTGGCTTGGGCATGCTCTTCGCATGCCTACTCATCGCCTACTTCGCCGTGACCTCTTTGTGCGCGCAGAAGTCGGCTGGAAGCGAAAGCAAGGTGGCCAAAGTATGACTTGGGCCAGGAATATGTAAAGACTAGCATCAAAGTTAGCCGGGTGCTCTCGGCTCTCTGGCTGGAGTATGAAGAATTCGGTACACGCACGGCTAGAGACACACTCGGATATGGCAAGAAATCGTGCACAATGGTGGAACTGTTGTGACTCACTATTCCCATGAGCACCGGTCTTTTCCTCTATCTTCGTGTGCTTATTGTATTTCCGTACGTTGTGGCACCATGCCGACTGTACTATTGGCCATGCAGAATATATATATATATATATAGTATATATATATATATATATATATATATAATATATATATATATATATATATATATACCATCCGCCTCAAACCAGCCATGGATGTAAATCGACCACATCACGATCATTTGTCTCTGCGGAGGTTCGATTTGGAGCACGACCGTGGACTCCGATCACGCTCTTGTGTTGCCGATCTGCGCGTACATTTTGGCGGACACCTGTGACGACGCCAACTGACGAAGTTAAGATTGCATATCAAACTGCGCAAACATGCGCGTTAATTAAGTGCTCACTGGACACAGTACACGAACTTGCAACTTGGTTGTTTGGCTGGCTAGCAGAACAACCTCCTCGTGGTGTCAGCTGGGTGGCTCGGGTTTAACCCGTTCCAGCAAATAGTTCGGCGGCAGTGTTCCAGGACGTGGTGGGTTTCTCCTGGCAAGCGTTCTCCCTATAAAAGGCCACAAAATTCTGCTTAACAACACTGTGACGTGGCGGTCGTGACTCGCCACAAAATAAAGTCACTGCCCCTTGGATATCCGGATAATTCTATCCAACCCACGGACAACAATCTCCTACTCGCATATTGATGACGATATCAAACATTGAAGATTGGAGCAGCACAACTACAAGCACAAAATAGACAGCTACATAACATACACACACAATGACATACATACATACCCCCTAACAATCACAAACTGCTATGGCAAAACATACCGGATTTTGCACATTCTTGATCATGCATCGTTATGTCAAAATGATCATGCCTGTAAAGGCGTGCCTCACCTTGTTGAGAATAAAAGATTTATTTATTTATTTATAAATCCATCAAGGAATTGTGTTGGTGTCACCGTCAACATGGTGGAAAAGCCAGACGTTGCTTGTATCATTGAGTTAGGCACGGCCCAGCCGCCTCAGGGAAGCCGAACAGTCCGCAGGCTAACACGACCAACGAGCCCATTAATAAGAAAACAGAGCGCCTGTTTTACACTAAGGACTGGCATTCTTGCATCACTTTACAAATCGACACAGGATTGGGAATGAGCGTCATCCCTGCGAATGCAAATGACAAACATTCAAAGTCAACACACAACTTACATACGACCTACGGCTCGTCGATAGCTTCATACAGTCAGCGCATGAGGAACCTAGATCTAAATCTGCAACGAGATTTTCAGTGTTTTCAAGGTTGCATCTGTACTATTCACGGTCATCGGTATCGATTTCCTCCACCATTTTAGAGGGCTTTTGATGCTCATCACCACGGACTCTTAGACGACCGTAAAAAACTACGGATTGGAGGCGTTCTTTCAGTTGCCCCAATAATCAGTCCCCTTTGCCGAACAGCCGACCCATCTTTAGACTATGCCAGGCTACTCTCTGAA